GAGGCGCTCATTTTCACCCCCCAGGTGGGCCAGATTTTGAGGATGTCTCGATCGGTTTGCTAGTTTTGGTGGCCAGGCTCGTGGGCGCATATTCCTTTCAGGATGCCACAGGAGGCTCCAACAGGCTCCAGGAGGCATCAGGAGGCATCAGGAGGCAACAGAAAGACTCAAGAGGCCACAGGATGTCCCAAGAGGCTCCAGGAGGCCCCAGGAAGCTCCAGAAGGCCTCAGGAAACCACAGGAGATCCCATGAGACAACAGGAAGCGCCAGGAGGCATCGGAAGGCAACAGGAGGCCCCGAGAGGCCCCAGGAGCAGGAGGCCTCAGAAGGCAACAGGAGTGGCTCCAATCCCATGTGTTTTACGTATGCTCCTATCGATTGGGCCTCACCTGGAGCACGATTCTTTGATGTTCTACGTATGTTTCTATAGATGGTCCTTCTCCTGTGTACACAATCCTAAATGTTTTACTCATGTTCCTATGTATTGGGCCTCTCCTGGGGCACGAGTCCTTGGTGTTTTACGCGTGTTCCTATAGATTGCCCTTCTCCTGTGGCTCTAATCCGCAATGTTTTATGTACGTCTGTTGCTATAGATTGCGCCTCCCCTGGGGCACGAAACCTTCCTAGGAGGTCCCAGGAGGTCCCAAGAGGCTCCTGGAGACCCCAGGAAGCCCCAGTAGGTTTCAGGAGGCCCCAGGAGGCCCCAGGCTCATGCACAGAGACGCGCTCGTACTACTGAGGCTCATTCACACTCCAATTCATTCGCAGTTAGATTGATGTCCAGACCGTCACAACTGAAGCCCGTTAATATTCGAAAGCTCTTGCGCCTAGACATTCACGGCGGACAGGTCCATGCGAGTAGATGCACATATGGGGAGCTCCACGCAGTGAATAATTTCTCCTCCCCTCCTGTCGGACATACTCAGACTTGCTCATACACAGACTTACTCATACTCAGACTTACTCATACTCAGACCTACTCATACTCAGACTTACTCACATTCAGACATACTCATATACAGACTTACTCATACACAGACTTACTCATACACAGTATTAGTCATACCCAGACGTACACATACACAGACTTACTCATACACAGACTTACTCATACTCAGCACCCCTAAGGGGAGCCGCCAGGGGTGGTTGCACGGGCTCGTTCGCGGCCATTTTGTGGGGATGTCTCAGGCGGTTTGCCTGTTTCTGTGCCCAACATCCTTCGCTTTCGGAGCAGATTTGGAGGATGTCTCGAGCGAGGCGCTCATTTCAGCACCCCTAAGGGGAGCCGCCAGGGGTGGTTGCACGGGCTCGTTCGCGGCCATTTTGTGGGGATGTCTCAGGCGGTTTGCCTGTTTCTGTGCCCAACATCCTTCGCTTTCGGAGCAGATTTGGAGGATGTCTCGAGCGAGGCGCTCATTTCAGCACCCCTAAGGGGAGCCGCCAGGGGTGGCTGCACGGGCTCGTTCGCGGCCATTTTGTGGGGATGTCTCAGGCGGTTTGCCTGTTTCTGTGCCCAACATCCTTCGCTTTCGGAGCAGATTTGGAGGATGTCTCGAGCGAGGCGCTCATTTCAGCACCCCTAAGGGGAGCCGCCAGGGGTGGTTGCACGGGCTCGTTCGCGGCCATTTTGTGGGGATGTCTCAGGCGGTTTGCCTGTTTCTGTGCCCAACATCCTTCGCTTTCGGAGCAGATTTGGAGGATGTCTCGAGCGAGGCGCTCATTTTCACCCCCCAGGTGGGCCAGATTTTGAGGATGTCTCGATCGGTTTGCTAGTTTTGGTGGCCAGGCTCGTGGGCGCAGATTCTTCTCAGGATGCCACAGGAGGCTCCAACAGGCTCCAGGAGGCTCCAGGAGACCACATGAGGTCCCAGGAGGCATCAGGAGGCCACAGAAAGACTCAAGAGGCCACAGGATGTCCCAAGAGGCTCCAGGAGGCCCCAGGAAGCTCCAGAAGGCCTCAGGAAACCACAGGAGACCCCAGGAGACAACAGGAAGCGCCAGGAGGCCTCGGAAGGCAACAGGAGGCCCCGAGAGGCCCCAGGAGCAGGAGGCCTCAGAAGGCAACAGGAGTGGCTCCAATCCCATGTGTTTTACGTATGCTCCTATCGATTGGGCCTCACCTGGAGCACGATTCTTTGATGTTCTACGTATGTTTCTATAGATGGTCCTTCTCCTGTGTACACAATCCTAAATGTTTTATTCATGTTCCTATGTATTGGGCCTCTCCTGGGGCACGAGTCCTTGGTGTTTTACGCGTGTTCCTATAGATTGCCCTTCTCCTGTGGCTCTAATCCGCAATGTTTTATGTACGTCTGTTGCTATAGATTGCGCCTCCCCTGGGGCACGAAACCTTCCTAGGAGGTCCCAGGAGGTCCCAAGAGGCTCCTGGAGACCCCAGGAAGCCCCAGTAGGTTTCAGGAGGCCCCAGGAGGCCCCAGGCTCATGCACAGAGACGCGCTCGTACTACTGAGGCTCATTCACACTCCAATTCATTCGCAGTTAGATTGATGTCCAGACCGTCACAACTGAAGCCCGTTAATATTCGAAAGCTCTTGCGCCTAGACATTCACGGCGGACAGGTCCATGCGAGTAGATGCACATATGGGGAGCTCCACGCAGTGAATAATTGTTGTTGTTGTTGTTGTTGTTGTTGTTGTTGTTGTTGTTGTTGTTGTTGTTGTTGTTGTTGTGTTGTTGTTGTTGTGTGTTGTTGTTGTTGTTGTTGTTGTTGGTGTTGTGTTGTGTTGTGTTGGTGTTGTGTGTGTTGTGTTGTTGGTGTTGGTTTGGTGTTGGTGTTGGTGTTGGTGTTGGTGTTGGTGTTGGTGTTGGTGTTGGTGTTGGTGTTGGTGTTGGTGTTGGTGGTTTGGTGTTGGTGTTGGTGTTGGTGTTGGTGTTGGTGTTGGTGTTGGTGTTGGTGTTGGTGTTGGTGTTGGTGTTGGTGTTGGTGTTGTTGTTGTTGGTGGTGGTGGTGGTGGTGGTGGTGGTGGTGGTGGTGGTGGTGGTGGTGGTGCTGCTGTTTTGCTGATGTTGCTGTTGCTGCTGCTGTTGTTGCTGTTGGATGGGGCGGACCTGCCCCGGGGAAACCCATTGTCCCCAGCAGAGGGGCCTTCAGTCTCCCCCCCCCCCTGGTGGAGGCTTCGCTCCCCCCCCGCCCCCGGGGGAGGGGAGGCAGAGGCCCCCCTCCGGGGGGTTGCTGGGCGTGTTGGCAGGCCCCGAATGATGTGGGAGCCCGATGGCATCCTCACGGGCCCCGTCGGATTCTCGAGGATTTCTAGGGACTCGTAGGCTTCATTGCGGAATTTTTAGGAGTTCCTACGAATCCCTCGGAATCTTCAGGCACGCAACGGAAGCTCAAGGACCACCAGGAATCGGTTGGAATCCTATGGGGCTCTTTGGAACCCGTAGGAACCCCGAGGGACCCTCAGGAACACCGAGGGATCCGTAAGAAGCCAGAGGAATTCTGTGAATCCTTGAAGGTTCCTGGCGATTCTTGGGAATTCTACACGCTTCGCGTATCCCCCCAGCCCATCCAGAAACGATGCCCAGGCGAGTTGAGGTGATCAGAGAAGTGCGGGAGCAAAGAGGAGGACGGCCGAACCGTGCACAGGAGGGAGGAGGAGAAGGAGGAGGCTGGATGGATGGATGAGGGAGTGGGGAGAAGAAAGATGAATAGGAGGAGGAGGAGGAGGAGGAGGAGGAGGAGGAGGAGGAGGAGGAGAAGGAGTAGGAGGAGGAGGGAAGAGCAGGAGGGGGTTGGCAGCAAAAGGGCCAGAAGTCTCTTGGATGCCTCTCGGAGCCTCTTGGAATATCTCTTGGGCGCTTCTTGGTGGCCTCTTGGGACGTCTTGAGGGTCCCTTGGCGGTCCTGGGGGGCTCTTGGGTGCCTCGGGGGGCCTCTTGGGGCCGCTTGGAGTCCTATTGGGGCCTCTTGGGGCCTCTTGGGGGCCTCGTGGGGCTTCTTAGGGCCATCTTGGGGCCTCTTCGGGCCTCCTGGGCGCTTCTTGGGGCCATCTTGGAGGACATCGATCAAACAAGAAGGGTTCCCCAATTACTGTTGCCCCTCGGGGGGCCCACACATCGTCATTAGGGGCGCTCTTGGAGCACTCTTGGGCGCTCTTGGGGCCGCCTTGAGGCTCTCTGAGACCCCTCTTAGGCCATCTTGGAGCCATCTTGAGGCCTCGGATAACCATCGGAAGCGAAAAGGCTAGACGGCAAACATTACTGGTGCTCCTCAAGTTTTGGAAGGATTTGGGCCTCTTGGAGGCCTCCTTGGATGTCTTGGAGGCCTCTTGGAGCCGTCTTGGAACCTTCTTGGATCCTCTTGGAGCATCTTGGAAGCCATCTTGAGGCATCTCGGGCTATCTTGAGCCATCTTGGCGGTCACCTTGGGCTCTCAGAGGCTCTCTCGGAGCCGTCTTGGGCCATCTTGGACCCTCTGACCGCTCGCGACCGGCCCCGTCCAGGTCCAGGGGAGGGGGCAGGGGGATGGGTGAACCCCTCCCCGAAGGGGAAGAGACGGCGTGGAAGAGGAAACATTTTAGACCACCTCATGCCCTGAAGGGCTGGTGGGACTCCTGCAAGATATATTATCGTCACCCCACCCGCGACACAACCCGCGACCCAGCCGCAACCCGCCCCACGACCCACCCCGCGACCCACCCCACGACCCACTCTGCGACCCACCCCGCGACCCATCCCACGACCCATCCCGCGGCCCACCCCGCGGCCCACCCCGCGGCCCACCCCGCGGCCGCCCCCTCACTCGTATCCGCAGCTGCGGGCCCAGGCATGCGACGTCCTGATTGTTTCAGAACGGCGTCCCCGGAAGTCCCGACCCCTTCCCTGGGGCCGGTCTTTCACCCTGCGTCGTCTTGTTCACGGCCCCGGGGCCCGGCGAGGGCCTCCAGAGGCCGAACATGGCGAAAGTCGTTCCTTTGTTTTTTTTTGGTTGCGAGGCGAGCATGTCTGGGGAGGGCTACAGACATGCAGCTCCCGGAGAGGGCGCCCCGACGCTGACGGACCCCTGCGGCCTGTCCCCCCGCGAGCCGCCCCCGGTCGCGCCTGCGCAGCCGGAGCTCGTGGAGGTATTCGACGGGCCCCTCGCCGAGTCGCCGTACGGCGTGCGCGGGGCCGCAGAGTGCCTGCAGCGAGGCTCGGGGGGCAAGCAGTGGCGAAGCGTCCCGGCTCGCTTAATTATAGAGGCCCACTAAGAGACTGCTCGAGGAACCCTTGCGTGGTCTGCACAAAAAGGTTCCCAGAGCATGTCTGGCTGAGCCTGTCTTGCTGCTTTCACACGGCGGGCTTCTGTTCTAAGGACCGTGCTTTTGCTACTGGAACATTGCTGGGTGCTAAGATCGGGGGAGCGTAAGACCTGGATTTGCCAGGACTCGGGTTCGCCATCGTTTTTTGACGACCGCGCCTCGGATTTTGACGAGGAGGAGCTTCGTGGGATGTCTGCAGCGGGAGGCCTCGTCAAAATGCAGGCTCGGCCTCGTCATTTTTTTGACGACCTCGTCGGGGATTTCCGAGTCCCCTGTACCCAGGTCTTACGTCCCCCTGATCGTGGTAGGACTACGGAAGGCTGGGACGGCCGGCCCCTGCTCAGCGGGGGCAGCGCGAGGTGGGGACGCAGCGACCTCCCCCCGCCTGCTGCCCGCCAGCAGCAGCGTGCGGAGTCGCTGCCTCGCGGGCCCCCTCGGCGAGGCGTCGCCGGTTTCAGCTCGAGGTTCTTCCCCCCTGATCGGGAGAGAAAAAGATACGGATACGTGTTGTCCCCCTTCGTTTTCGGCCTTTCCTGGTCCTCCTGGGGAATCCTCGTTGTCACCGCTGGATTCGCCTCGAAATTCTGGTCAGAACGCACCCCAAGAGAGGTCCGGGGACAACACGTATCCGTATCTTTCCGCTCCCCCTGAGTTGGTGCCCCTACCTTCGCAGGCCTAGAGATGGACACCGACACCAACTTCGGCGGTGTGCCTCCACCGAGGGAAGAGGATCTCGATCTCGGTGATGGTGGTGATCGTATGGCTTCCAGAGTGGCCGAGGTATTACCACCGACGCCGAAGTCGAGGATCATCTTCCCCCTGTGGTGGAAAACCCCCTGTGTCGGTGTTGGTGCCCATTCCCAGGCCTCCAATACCTCAGCCACTCGCAAAAGGGGGGGTATCGAAGAAGAACAAAAACACCATAAGCATACACTTTTTGGCGCTCCGCGCGGATTTCTTGGATCCGCGCTGGGACCCCCCGGCGGCGCCTCCGCCGCCCCTGGCGCGCTCCGCGCGCCAGAGAGGGGGGCCCGGCGCGGATCCAAGAAATCCGCGCGGATTTCCAAAATTTATGTTTATGCCGTTTCTTGTTCCTCTAGGTTAGGGGGAGGGGGGGAGAGGGCTTCTTCGAAGCACCCCTTTCTCAGATGGTGCGGGCCCTGTTTGGAGATGCAGGGCGTGGCGCCTTCTAGGAAGCCGCTTCCCTCCGTGAAGCCCTCCCCCCTCCCGCTGCCCCCTTGTTCGGGCCGGGCGAAAGGGGGGGTTTGGGAAAGGGTGGGTTACGAAATTTGCTGCATGCAGCTGGTTTCGGCCTCACCGAGGGGCCCATTCCTCGATACATAGCCGCCTCCGGCGCCAGGAGGCGCCGGGGAAATCAGCTACGCGAGCTGATTCTCAAACCCCCCCTTTGCTATTCCCCCCTTTCGCCCGACCCGACTTGTGCGCGTCGCCAAGCCAGCGTAGGCCTGTGGCACCGCGCCGTGCACGTGTGGCTGCTGGACGCCCGCACGGGCGGCCTGCTGCTGCGGCGGCACTCGAGGCGGCCGGCGGCATGCCTCGGCGGCGGCATTGGAGCCCTACCCCAGGAAGCATTTAAGAACTCCCCCAGCGATATCGTAGCACCGCATTTTTTATTCGAGATTCCGAAGGGCCGAAATAACCGAACGATAGCTGTAGCACCCGGACACGATTATGATGATGATGATGATGATGATGATGATGATGATGATGATGATGATGATGATGATGATGATGATGATGATGATGATGATGATGATGATGATGATGATGATGATGATGATGATGATGATGATGATGATGATGATGATGATGATGATGATGATGATGATGATGATGATGATGATGATGATGATGATGATGATGATGATGATGATGATGATGATGATGATGATGATGATGATGATGATGATGATGATGATGATGATGATGATGATGATGATGCGGATATGGATGATGGTGCGGAAGGGTTATCGATTTGCCGGAGGTGGGGGGGGGTCTTAAATGCTTCCTGGGGTTACCCTTGCCTGTCATCGATCGTCCGCCCAGTGATCGTTTGCTTCTTCGCCGTTTTTGCCGATCGGCGCGGGCCCTCGCATACCCCCCCCTCCTCCCCCCAGCCTCCATGGAGTGGATCTTGGCGGTTTTCGGCGCCTGCATGGCTTGTTCGAGACCTACACCTGCCGATTTCGAAAGAGAGAAACCACCATAAACACAAACGTTTGGCGCTCCGCGCGGATTTCTTGGATCCCTTCTTGACCCCCCTGGTGGCGCCTCTGGCGCCGCCCCTGGCGCGCTCCGCGCGCCAGGGAGGGGGGTCCGGCGCGGATCCAAGAAATTTGCGCGGAGCGCCAAAAGTTTATGTTTATGGCGTTTGTTCTTCTTATTCTTCTAATAGTATCGATCGTCTGCCTACTGACACTGTAGTCGTGATGCGGTCTGTTTCTCCGCTTCGCAGTTGAGCCTCCGTGTGCACGCAATCACTCAGCAAGGCGCTCCTTGCATGGCCACGCAGAGCTGCTAGCCGCGCTCTCTTCTGTCCACGCGTTCTCCCAGATGCTCGGCTCAGCCATGACATGCCACACTTGCCGATCAACAGTTTTCACCGACCGCGTCCCACTACAGCCAAAAGGCTGACATCAAGGCCGCTTCGGGCTCAGGACGGGCGCAGGTTTTCTGGCCGTTCCCCATGTCTACGTCAGGGAAGCTGTTCGTGACCGAGGCTCGCTGAGGGTGCCGACATAGTGTGACTATGCCAGCGTGCAGACGGCTCTGTCACACCGTGACCTGCCGTCGCTAATCTGCGCCGACCAGGTCCTGAATAGGCCGCCCAGGAGCGGGGGGGAATGGAGGACGAAGGATGGATGCAGGAGGTAGGGTTGGCGGCGCGCACTGGGGGGTATGTGGGAGGGGGGACGGGCTCTCACAAGCGCCCCGGCTTCTTAGAAGGCGCGGGCCTCCTCTGCAGATGTAGTGCTGGCGCTTTCGAAGAGGCAGCCTCCTTCTGAAGCTTTCCCCCCTCCCCCTTACCCCCTTTGTGCGCGCCGCCGAGAGGGGATGAAGGACGGAGGATGCAGAGGGGGGGGGCAGCGAGGATGGAGGACGGAGGATGCAGGAGGGGGGGAGGGTTTCTCTGAAGGACTTAGGCGACCCCCCCTCCTCCTCCTCCTCCTCCTCCTCCTCCTCCTCCTCCTCCTCCTCCTCCTCCTCCTCCTCTCCTCCTCCTCCTCCTCCTCCTCCTCCTCCTCCTCCTCCTCCTCCTCCTCCTCCTCCTCCTCCTCCTCCTCCTCCTCCTCCTCCTCCTCCCTCCTCCCTCCTCCCTCCTCCCTCCTCCCTCCTCCCTCCTCCCTCCTCCCTCCTCCCTCCTCCCTCCTCCCTCCTCTTCCCTTCTCCCTTCTCCCTCCTCCTTCTCCCCCTCCACCTCCTCCCTCCTCCTCGGGTCGCCTACGGCCCCAGGGGAAACCGTGAAGGGGGTGGGAGGCGAGCGGGAGGAGGCCAGCGGAGGGGAGGAGGGTCCGGCCCAAAGGGGGGCCGCACCGCGAGGATGGGGGCTCCCAGGGGCCTCCGCGCCGCGAGGGGGGGGCTCCGAGGGCTCCCAAGGGGGTTTGGCGATGACCCTTCGCCGATCGACCTGTGGGGATCGAGGAAGATAGATCCAGATAGATCCAGATAGCCCAAGGTAGGCTCGGCGGCGAGCGAGGGAGGGAAGTCAGAAGGATGGGCCTTCCCACAGAGCGGCGAGACTTTTCAGAAACCCTCGCGCCCTCTGAGAGGTGTTCTGTGCCTTCGAGGAAGGCAGGAGATTTCTCAGAAGGCCGGGGGACGACTTCCGAGCCTTCCGAGAAGGCCTTCTTCTTCTCACTTCTCCTTGGGCGCGCCGCCGATAAATCCAGGTAGATCTAGGCAACTCCAGGTCAATCCAGAGATCTCCAGGGAAAGTGGGAGCAAATCCCCGCCGATCACTCCTCCTCGTCCCCCCTCGTACCTCGTCGTCCTCCTCCCTCCTCCCCGCTCCTTCCTGCTCGCCTGTCCTCTTCCTCCTCCTCCTCCTCCGCCTCCTCCTCCTCCTCCTTCTCTTCCTTCTCCCCCTCCCGCTCCCTCCCCCTCCTCGCCTCCCCCTCCCCCTCCTCGCCTCCCCCTCCCCCTCCCCCTCCCGGGCGCTCGCCGCCGAGGCAGAGCTCGCGGAACCCGGGCCGCTGGGGGCCCTCCTGCCACGACAGCGTGCGTTGCTGCGCGCCCATCCCGCGGGAGGGGGGGGGGGCCGCCAGCGGGGGCTCGGCAACGACGCGGGGCTCGAGCTGAACGGTGTCTTGGCGACGTCGTGGGCCGTTTTCGTGCCGGTGTCGTTCTGCGGCGAGGGCCGAACGACGGACGTCGAGGGACAACGAGCACGCAACGGAAGCGGAGAATGCTACTGCTGGGCTCGGCAACGAAGCGGGGCTCAAGCGAAACTCGGGGAAACGTAAGACTCGAGAACGCCGGGACTCGGGTTTGCCGATTTTTTTTGACGAGCGCGTCCTGGATTCTGACCGTCCAGTTCTCGTGGGATGTCTGCAGCGGGAGCTCGCGTCAAATTCCAGATTGGGCCTCGTCATTTTCATGGCTGGCCCCGTCAGACCAACCCGAGTCCCCCGAACCCGAGTCTTACGTCACCCCGATAAACGATGTCTTGGCGACGTCGTGGGCCGTGCTCGTGCCGGTGCCGTTCTGCGGCGAGGGCCGAGCGACGGGCGTCGAGGGACAGCGAGCACGCAACGAAAGCGGAGAATGCTACCGCTTGGCTGGAAGCCTGCCACGCGGTCCCAGCTCAGGAGGGAGCAAAAACACACAGACACAATTCCTCGTCGATTCCCAGGAAAATTTTGGAAAATATGGGAAGTGGCGGGGAAGACAAAAACCGAGAAAATATTAGAAAATATTGGGAATCTGGTTGTTGATGCGTATTTACTTGTGTGTCCCAGGGCCCCTTCAACAGCGCAGCCTCAAACTACGCCAGATGTTCGGGCGTTTTCTCGTCGGCCCCGGGGCAGAGGGCCACCGGGCCCCGGGAGATCCCCGGCGGCGTGGGAAAGATAACGGCAGAGGATGGCTGGCCGTTTGCAGGGGCAATGCTCGGGAGGGGGACGGCTTCTCGGGCTGGACGAAAGGGGGGGATTAGGAAAGTCGAAAATCAAAGAAAAAAACAACGAGAAACCAGAAGAACCAGGAAATCCGTAAAACAAATCAAAGAAACCATTGGTTTTTTATAGAAGAAATCATAAAAAATCCAACCGAAACCTTGGGGTTACGAAATTTGCTGCATGCAACTGGTTTCGGCCTCACCGATGGGGCCCATTCCTCGATGCATGGCCGCCTCCTGCGCTGGGAGGCGCCGGGGAAATCAGCTACGTGAGCTGGTTCTCAAACCTGCCCTTTGCTATCCCCACCTTTCGCCCGACCCGAGCCTCAGGGGAGGTGCATCGATTTCCAATCGCCCGTCGCGGCGTCAAGGGTCGCTGCTCGCGTTCTCTCCTGAACGCGGCAGCGGCCCTTCGATGGGCCGCCGCCGTTTCCTCGAATGCGCGGCCACGCGCAGCCAAGGCGCACATCGGCCTCGTGGGGCGAGGCCGTTGCTCGGAGAAGCACTTGCGTTTCTCCTCGCCTACGTCTTCCTTACCTTCGCCGTTGTCGCCCATGCCCCTCGTCGCTGATGTTTCCTCTTCGCTGCGGGTATAAGGGCCAAATTTGCAGCATGTCCCCTGTTGAAACAAAAACACCCGTTCCAAAGGTGTATATTTGGGATATCCGGTCGCGCGCATCGATATAAGTCGCCTTGTGGGGCAGAGCAGGGTCTCGAGGTTGGGTCTCTTGTGAAGGTTCTTCGTGGAAGGTGTCTTGCGAAGGCCTTATGGCCGGTGCAGCCGACGACGACGACGACGACGACGACGACGACGACGACGACGATGATTTGATGTTGGACATTCAATTTTTTGTCCGTACTCCAGATCTCGTAATAAAGGGAGGGGGGTCTCATTTCGGGGGGGGTCTCTTCCAGGCCATCTTGGAGGGCCTGGGGGGGTCTGGGGGCGGTGTTTTGGAGGGTTCTCCCACGGGGGAGGTCTGAAATGGCTCGTCTTGGAGGGTCCAGACCCCCTCCCTTTTATTACGAAGTCTGGAGTACCCATTTCGGGCGTCCTGGCCCTGGGTTTTCTTGGATTTGGGAGTTGGACGGCTCTGCTATGGAGAGCGCGGCGCTCCTGCGCAGAACAAAAATAAATCGGTGGGCGTCCCGGGGTTGCAGGTTTGGGGCTTCTCTTGCGGAAGGCTCCCTGCGGAGCAGGCAAAGAGACATACCTCCTGTCAGGAGGGGAAAAAACACACAGAGGCACAAATATCCGTCGACTCCCAGAAAATATGCGCAAATATGGGAAGTGGGGGGGAAGACAGACACCCAGAAAATATGGGAAAATATATGGAATATTTTTACTTGTGTGTATTTATTTGTGTTTTTGTGGGCCCCTTCCCGTGGACCGCGACCCCGTTGGCGTCCACCGAGGACGAGGCAGCCCCTCGCCCGAACCATGCGAGGAAGACGTGTGGCCCCACGGAGGCATCGCTCGGAATTGTGTATTTTTCTTCCAGCGAGGACCATCGAGGAGTATCCTTGATCATTTGGTGAAAAAAACCACACAAAAACCACACACACACACACGAAACCGAAAAAAACACATTGAATGGACGTCCGAGCGATGGCCAGTCACGGAGTCTCCCCCCTTTTTCTCACGCCAGGGCCAGGCCGCATCGGCGGCTGGGTCCGATGCGTCTGCAGGAAAAGACCCCCCACGTCCCTGATGCTCATGGCCCTCCTGACTCGGGACGCCTCCCACAGGGTAGAGTGGTGGGGGGCCCAAGAACAGACACCACCACCATATCGCCCTCGCCCCCTCCCTCCCCCGGGAAAGGGGAAAGAGGAAGAGGAGGGCAGAGGAGAGAGGAGGAATCGACGTGGTGGTGGTGTCTATTCTTCGGGTCCCCGAACGGGGGCCTCTGAGCTGCCACGGCGTCGAGGCCCGGGCGGCCCAGCCCTCCCGCGGGGACCGTCGCCGAGGGCCAGCCGCCAGGGCCCAGCGCCGCCGCCGAGTCCTCGCGCGGCGCGGCCGCCCGGGCCCTGCGGGAGCAGCTGGGGCTGGGCCCGGAGCCGCGCGGGGCGCTGGAGCTGTGCTTCCGCTGCCCCAGCCAGGCGGTGGTCCTCCTCCTCCGCCTCCTCCTCCTCCTCCTCCTCCTCCTCCTCCTCCTCCCCCTCCTCCTCCGCCTCCTCCTCCCCCTCCTCCTCCTCCTCCTCCTCCTCCTCCTCCTCCTCCTCCTCCTCCTCCTCCTCCTCCTCCTCCTCTCCTCCTCCTCCTCCTCCCCTCCTCCTCCTTCTCCGCCTCCTCCTCCTCCTCCTCCTCCTCCTCCTCCTCCTCCTCCTCCTCAGGGGCCGTTGTCGGGCCCGGGGCCGTCAAAACCGGAGCCAGCGTGTAAAACACAGCACAAGCTGGAGCCCGGGAGGGGGCCAGGGACCGGTATTGAGCGGATTTGCTTCTAACCTTCCCCCCCCCCCTCGACTGGACGTAAGAGTGACCTTTCGCCGGAGTGACCTTTGGTGCGGGCACAGACGGGCCCCCAGGTGGCTGAAAACGAAGCAGGAGCAGCGGCCTGCGCGCCCAGGTGTGGTCCCCCCGCGGCCAACAAAAAGCCGCGCACCAAAGGTCACTCTTACCCAGGGTCACTCTTGCGTGTAGCCGATAGCAGCGCGGTGGTCCGTAGACGCTTGGGGGCGGCAAAGAAGGGGGTGAAGACTAGGGTGGGGGTGGATCTCATGGCGGGGGCCATGATCTTTCCCCAGATCTCATGGCGCCTCGTCTTGTTTCATTACGACCCTGGCCCCCCCGCTGGGCCGCGCACATGCCGCCGGTCATGATTTGCACCCTCCCCTCTTGGACACCCCCCTCTTGGCCGCTCCCGAGACGCGCTAGCGGCGGTGTTGGTAACGGCGATGTGAGTTTTGGTATTGTGGGTGGGGGTGGTTCGTGGCCAACCTGAGGATCGGAAAGTGTGGTTCGTGCTGTCCCACAATTTGCACATCTGAGATGTAGGAACTCGGGTCAGGGCTAACTCGGGTGCAGTCTTCGGGAATCCCAGCCCGAGTTACCCGGGGCCCGAGTTACCCTGGATAATTCGGGCGTCCGGAGCCCCAGATCATCAGGGGCACTTCGGGTCAGGGCGAACCCGGCTTCGTTCTTCGGGCATCCGAACCCGCGTTATCCTTGGCCCGAGTTACCCCGGAGAACTCGTGCGTCCAGGGTCCCAAACCATCAGGGGCAACTCGGGTCAGGGCTCCCTTGGGTTCGTTTTTCTCGGGGGTGGACAGACCTCCTACCTTGACACGTCGATTAAGGAATTGGCCGTTTTCGGTTCGCGAGAGGGCGTCGCGGCCGTCATTTTTGCGGGTCCAGGTCCGTCGGTTTCGGTCCCAGGCCGTTTTCATTAAGGGGAGGTCTACAAAAGGGAGGTTTGTCCACCGCCGATTTTCGGGAATACAAACCCGAGTCATCCCGGGCCCGAGTTACCCCGGATACTTCGGGCGCCCAAGTGGTCACAGACCCCCCTTCCAGAGATGACAAGGTCACGACGGAGAGTTCTTGTTGCTGGAATCGACGAAAAAACAAAAGCAAATGACATGAACATGATTTTTTGGCGCTGCGCGCGGATTTCTTGGATCGGAGCTTGGGCCCCCCCACGGCGCCTCCGGCGCCGCCCCTTGCGCGCTAGATGCGCTGGACATCCTGGAACGTATCCTGAGCCAACCTCAGCCTGACATAATTCGCGCTCTGATTCTCGGCCCTGGGGAGCCCTGCCCGGGCCTTGGGACCGTGAACAAAAACTCGTAATAAAAATCAATTAAGGGGAATGCGTCGAGACCCCTGGGGGTCGAGACGTCATGAAAAAGGCATGACGTCGGCGGTCCGGGGTCGGGCGACGACGGCTCGTACAGCATGTACCTAGGCCTCCTAGATGGGGTCCGAGTAGATGGGGTCGGAGGATCGCGCCGCGTCGCCGATGCATCGACCACGCGGCTCGATGTGGAGCCCGTGTTTCCCAGCGCCGACGTCGCCGATGCCTCGCCGACGTCGCCGATGCAACGGCGAGGCATTGGCGATGCGGCGCGACCCTTCAACCCCATCTGCTCGGACCACATCTGGGAGACCTCTCACATGTATCCCCAGCGTTATGATGTTCCAATTCACTTTAACCTCCTGATCACCAGAAAGAATTTCGAGCCCCCAGAAAATACAGGAACCTGGGGGTTTTCACGTGTCGGGCCCTTGGGAGACGCTCGCCCGACACTGTTTAGACACTGCTTCGACACTCCTTTGGCACTCTTCAGGGTGCTCGAAATAATTTCTGGGATTTCGGGCCAGGACCAGGGCAAGCAGGGGAGGGAGGAGGAGGAGGAGGAGGAGGAGGAGGAGGAGGAGGAGGAGGAGGGGAGGAGGAGAGAGGAGGAGGAGGAGGAGAGAGAGGAGGAGGAGGAGGAGGAGGAGGAGGAGGAGGAGGAGGAGAGGAGGAGGAGGAGGGAGAGAGGAGGAGGAGGAGGAGGAGGAGGAGGAGGAGGAGGAGGAGGAGGAGGAGGAGGAGGAGAGAGGAGGGAGGAGGAGGAGGAGGAGGAGGAGAGAGGAGAGGAGGAGGAGGAGGAGGAGGAGGAGGAGGAGGGAGGAGGAGGAGGAGGAGGAGGAGGAGGAGGAGGGAGGAGGAGGAGGAGGAGGAGGAGGAGGAGGAGGAGGATGGAGGAGGAGGGAGGAGGAGGAGGAGGAGGGGAGGAGGAGGAGGGGGGAGGATGGGAGCAACACAGCCCCAGCGGCGGCCGGGCGGGGCCAGGCCGAGGGCCAGTCCGTTCCGGGGAGCGCTCCGCGGAGGGCTCCTCCATGGTGGCTCCGGGGAGCGCCCCGCGGTCGAGGGGCCACGCTCTCCGCGGGCTTCCCCTGCGCGGCCACGGCTTCTGCCAGGGGGCTTCCCGGGTGGCCTAGCTCATCGAGGATGCAAGAACCCCTGAGCCTATGATGTTCGGGGGTGGACAAGACCCCCAATAGTGACACGTCGATTAGTGAATTGTCCGTTTTCGGTTCTCGAGAGGGCGCCGTGGCCGTTATCTTCCAGACTTGCGCCCGCCAGGTTTGGGCCTCATGTCTTTTTCACTAAACCACGTTTTACCAAAGGGGGGTCTGTCCATCCCCGAGATGTTCCAACCTCCTTTAGCCTGGATCACCAGAGATAATTTCGAGCGCCAGAAGGTTACCGAACATCTCCAGGTTTTCACGTGCCGGGCCCTGAGAAACACTCGTCCGACACTGTTTCGACACCATTTCGACACTCTTTCGACGCTCTTCCGGGTGCTCGAAACTAGTTCTGGGATGTGGCCCTCAAGTACGCTGGGAGCAACATAGCCTTAAACCCAATAGCGCGAGGGAGACGCGGTCTCACTGAGGTCCCCGTCTATCTGCATGTGAGCCAAAGTAGATCCGGGCGGTGTGGTTCGATGCCTCTGCAGAAAAGGCCCTCTTATGCCTCATCGGTGCTCTTGGCCCTCCTGGCGGAGTTTCCCTCCCTACGACATTGGTGTTCTATTTTGTCTATCAGGAGGAAAAGAAACACACAGACACAATGAATCGTCGATTCCCCAGAAAATATAGGAAAATATGGGAAGTGGGGGGAAGACAGAAACCCAGAAAATATGGGAAACTATTGGGAATATCTTTATTGAATCGCTTCGCTCATTCCGCCGGCCCATAGTGTAGCGTCGCTGGCACTTGCTTGCGTGCTCGGGGGGGCATTTGGGTGGCCTCCTGGGGCCGCTTGGGGGCCTCTTGGGGGCCTCCTGAGGGCCTGTTGGGGGCCTCTTGGGGCCTCTTAGGGGCCTCTTGGGGCCTCCTGGGGACTTCTGAGGGCCGAGGGCTCGAAATATTGTTTCGTGTTCCCCCCCTGGGGTCCCTCTTGGGGCGTTCTTGGGGCCCTCTTGGGCCGTCTTGGAGGCCTCTTGGGCCGTCTTGGAGCCCTCTTGGGCCGTCTTGGGGCCCTCTTGGGGGCCTCTTGGGCCCTCTTGGGGCGGTCTTGGGGGCCTCTTGGGCCGTCTTGGGGTGTCGTGAAGCCGAAAAGGTGGAAACGCCAAAATCTCTCCAAAACCTAAGGAAAAGCAGTGAATTTTGCCTCTTGGGGCCCTCTCGGGAGTGCTCTTGGAGGCCTCTTGGGGCGTCTGGGGGCCATCGTGGGCGTCTTGGAGCGATCTTGTGGCATCTCGGACCCCTCATGTAGCATCTTGGGGGCCTCTTGGAAGCCTCTTGGCCCTTCTTGGGGCTCTCGGGGACGTCTCGGAGCCGCGTTGGTGCGCTGCTGGAGCGCCCTGGTGACTCTTCCCGGGACTCTCTCGGGACCTTGCCGGGGTACTTTCCGCCCGGGGGCCCCCAGGGGCCGCCCCGCGCGCGCGAAGTAGAAAGATTGTAAAGCAGTCACCAGAGATCTTAGCACGCCTCTGGCCCGTTGGGCCGGCGAATTTGTGTATATTTATTTGTGTGTCCTGGTGCCCCTTCAGTCTAACCACTAGCGCTGAGAGAGTCAGAGAAACCGCCATCGTCAGCTTCAGCTGCCCCTGCCAGGCGTTCGGTCGCAACTCATGGGAGCCTCGCAAGTCCTCGGGATGCCGCCTTTCGAGTGGATTCGCGTGCGTTGGCGTTGAGTCGGGCATGTCCCTCTACAGGAGGGTCATTAAGAATAGGAAAACGATTGTTTTTGACAATTGTTGACTATTTTTGACTATGTTCGATTTTTCTTCCAAAATCCGCCTGGAGGAGGACATGTCCCACAACGCTGGCGTCTGGTAGTCTATGTGAAGACGCCGCCTCAGCGTCGATTTGGCCTCGATGAGTGTCGATATGGCGTCTATGAGCGTCGACTTGGAGTCGATCCTCTTCGTTTTAAGCGTCGGACAGCGTCGATCTGCAGAAGCCAACCAGGTGGCGCGGGAGGCTCCCATGAGCTGCCCCAGCCAGACTCCGGTGGGCGGCGACGGCGGTCGCGGGCGGTGGGCGAAGATCGGGTCGGGCGAAAGGGGGGTTTGGGGCAAGGGGGGGTATGAAATCTGCGGCATGCAGCTGGTTTCGGCCCCACCGAGGGGCCCATTCCTTGATACATAGCCGCCTCCGGCGCCGGGAGGCGCCGGGAAAATCAATTACGTGAGCTGATTCTCAAACCTCCCCTTTGCTATCCCCCCCTTTCGCCCGGCCCGAGAAGAGCGGCGGGCGATGCGGACGGCGACGGGCGATGGGCGCGGCGAGCGACGGGCGATGGCAGACGGGCGACGGAGGCCGGGCGGCGGCGCGCGGAGCGACGGCGGCCGCGGGCGGGGAGATTGGCGGCGGACGGCGGACGACGGCGGACGGCGGCGGGCCGCGGCGGACGACGGGCGGCAACTGGCGACGGCAGAAGCAAAACGACGCGAAGACCGGGACAAAATCGGATCGCGATAACTCGAAATCTCTGAGAATCGGCGGGTTTGGAGGATGTATTGGGCGCCGCGGCCGCTCCAGAGCGTTCCGGAACGCTCTGAGAGCGCTCCGGAACGCTCTGGAGCGATTTATCCTGATCCTAGCCCTGTTTTATTTAAACTGGCGACGGACGGCGGAAGCCAGAAGCGCAGCCTCGGCTGCGGATGATCGTCGCGAAGCCTGTATCCTTCTAGGCTTTCCAGACGAGGTTCGGAGGATCGCGTGACGCGTCGCCGATGCGTCACGCGAGGCGGCTCGGTGTGGAGCCTGGTGTCTCCACGCCGACGTCGCTGCTGCATCGCCGATGCATCGCCGATGCGGTGCGACCCTACGACCTCATCTACAGTCGACCCGCATAGTACGGATGAGCGACTTTCCAAGGGTACCCTTGCATCCAACTCCTCTGGCCCATTCTTGGCCAGTCAAGCCGGCGGCGCCCCACCCGCAAAGTGTCGACATGGCCTTCAGGGCCCTTGCATCATTATCGTGCGTCCTTATTACGGGTTGACTGTACAGTGGGAGCGCGCATCAAGAAACCATATGCTTTCCGTCAGGGCAGCCTGGGCTTTTCGTTCCGCGAGCTGCGCGGTGACTTCCAGCGGCCGTTAAAAAAGCTGCTGCGTTCAGGGTACTTTGGGTTTCCCCTTGTGTGCACCTCGCGCGCGGGCTTTCAGGATTGGGTGTCTCGCGAGGGTTTCTTGCGGCCGCGCCCGCACTGTACTCGGACCCCATTTGAGCGACGCAACAGACGGGGCCGCCTGCGCCGACACTGGTGTGCAAGATGCCCGCGCAAGGTCACGCGTGAGCGCCATCGCCGCCAGCGTGCCGCGCTGGCGCCCCGCGTAGGCCGCCGCGCAAGGTCGCTGTGCCACGCCGCGTAAGTCAGGAGGGGAAAAAACACAGACACAATTAATCGTCGATCCCTAAGAAAATATGGGAAAATATGGGAGTTGGGCTGGAAGACAAAAACCCATAAAATATAGGAAAATATGGGGAATCATTTTATTTGTGTGTATTTGTTTGTGTGTCCTGGGGCCCCTTCAGTAAGGTCATGCGTGAGCGCCATCGCCGCTAGCGTGCCGCGCTGGCGCCCCGCGTAGGCCGCCGCGCAAGGTCGCCGTGCCACGTCGCGCAAGGCCCGTTCTTGCTCGTCGCTGTGGGAGGCCCCCGCAGCAGCGCATCCTTCGCTGCGTGCCGTGCCCCTTACCAGCCTCGAACGTATCCCTATCCCTAAGATTGACACGCCAAGAGGCGGTGACAATCTCAGGGACTCGCCCTCAAA